CAGATTCCTAAACCCTTTTTTCTAATAAATACTTTTCGAAGCTTTATTTACCACAAGCAAGCGAAGCAGTCAGGCGTCCTTTCATATTTGCCAGGTCATAAATTATAACTACGAAATCCTAAGCCACCAACTGCACCAATTTCATACTGGCAACAAAAAAGAAAATATTCCATATTCATGTAGTTAGAAAAAGAAAGCATAGTAACGGGTGATTTTTTAAGAGCTTGATACCTTTTTTTTTAAAAAAAACGCATAAAATTTGCAAAATCTCATCGGTTCTTTATTTGAAACGTTAGATTGGTCCATGACATTTACTTTTTGAAGATAATTTCATTTAAATGTTGACCGCGGCTGCGTCTTAGGTGGTCCATTAGAAACGTTCGTATTCCCTTAACATATTTGCAATACCCAGAACCATAACCTCATCTAAAGCCATGGCATGACTTTGAATGTACTTATTCAAAAGCACCCCAAACTTAACCAAAAAAAAAAAAAAAAAAAAAAAAACTTCTGCATATTTCTGAATAAAATGAAAATTGTATGAGAAGCGCATATTAACACAGCAAATTAAAAGAAAAAGGTCATAATTTCCGCTGAGATCACAATCCCAGCCAATAGCCAACAAGTCGACTACAACCCAACACAAAGACCACCAACGCAATGCACGCACATACTGCAAATCTCCGTTGTGCCTGATAGAGCAGCAGATTTTCGTAGAAGAATACAAAGCTGCGAAAATACGTAAGTTATGCGGAAAAAAAAAACAAACATACATGAATAGTGAAAACTGAATGAAATAAAGGAAAATCAAGAATGGCAGTGGAATGAGACAGCATATTTTGGAAGGTGAATACTGACTGGCAGCTGTGGATGAACACAAAAGCACAAGAAATCGGCTAATTTAAAAGAAAAAAAGATGTTCCGGTTAAATTTTGTTCGTTTTTATTTTCTTTTACACACGTATGTTCCCGGGATGTTAAGAATGCCAAATTTTTCGCAAATGCGAATGCGATTGTTAGGGATAACACTAAAAACAAGCGTTAACCAACTTAAGTCATCGTTAATTCCTATGTAGAATTGCTCGGGTATTCCGAAAATCGACTTTTTTTCAATGGATACGTTTTCGACATATTTGCAATTTACCGTTACTCAGCTTAAAGCAAAAATTGGTTCCGTTTAATCACGTATATCTTACGAACCAATGAAAAAATCTTAATATAAAGTACGGTAAATGACAGCCAATGAAATTCTCCATAAACCGTATATACACCACTTTCTGAGGTGGCTTATAGTTTCTGACAAATTAATGAATCATTCCAGTTTTTTTTTATTTTTTATTGAAAAAATTAAAATAATAAAACTTTAACAGAAGAAAAATTTTAAAAATAACACGTTCTATGCCAAATTTTTGCATTTGTACTAAGCCTGTTCTGCTACAAAAAAAATCAAGTTACTGATAAAGAAAATCGATGGATAAATACGAAATAATGAATGTTCAAATAAAAATGCGCAAGATTATTTGTATGAAAATTGAGCACGAAATAATGTTACTCATACGCCCCGCGTACACCTAAGTAACAGCTTTTGTGCTCTTATTTCATACAAAAAAATTTTGCGCATTTTCATTTGACCACTCATTATTTCGTATTTATCCTTCGATTTTATTCATCAGTAATTTTATTTTTTTTTTGTAACAGAGCAGGCTTTAGTACAAATGCAAAAATTTGGCACAGAACCTGTTATTACTTTAATTTTTCTTCTGATAAAGTTTGATTTTTTCATTAAAAAATAAAAAATAAAACTGGAATGATTAATTAATTTGTCAAAAACTATCAGCCCGAAATTAATTAAGAAAATCAAAAAAAAGCAAAAATTAAAATTAAATCTGTTCTGCTACTGTTCTGTTATTTCAAAATTCTTGTTGACTTTATTTCTCTTTTGAAAAAGTAAAAACGTCAAATTGTTTATTTCGGATCACTAAGGGAAATAGTCTCAACTGACGTTATTTCCGGTGATTTTGTTACCTGTCACTCATGTTTCTATTTTCAATGACATGCAGCAGCGTACAAAGGTTGTTTTGCCTGTAAAGATGCTAAACGTTAACCCTTAATTAGGCGCATAAAGAAAATTCCACAATTAGTCGCATGGGGTCCCCAGCGACCCAAATAAAAGTGACGTAAAAACAGTTTACAAAATAAAAAAAAACGAAGTGTGTATTAACAAAAATATTAAAGTACTCTATTATCTTTAACTTAAAAAAACGAAGACATATATTGAAACTAAAAAAAAAAAATTAAATTGACCTCCCCCAAAAAATTTTTCGTTAGTGGTCGCATGGGTCAGTAATGAAGCGAGTTGCGACACATATAAACGCGACTGTTCTAGCCGTGACTAACTAAATAAAACGAAATGTGTATTGTCATAAATATTAAAGCTCTTTATTATAGTTACCTTTAAGAAAGAAAGCCATAACTTTGACTTCAAACTTAGATACAAAAATAAAAACTTACCTCCGCTAAAAAATGTTATGGAAGTGGTCGCATGGGGTCAGGACTTAACCCTTCGATTTGTGAGAAGGTCCCTAGGGACCTTTTCGTATTTCATGTGCCTATGTCTTTTTGTTCAATGCATTTTTGAAAAGAATTTATACATGTATTCCAAGAATAAATTAAGCTGAATCGTTTAAAATAAGTTTCGAAGGGATACGGGATCACGTTCGAGTGTTATTGAGATTTCAACATATATAGTACGGGGATTAGTGACAAGGTCCCTAGGGACCTTGTACAATTTTAGAAGAAATAACAAGTTACTTGTCTTCATGTTTTGATTTTTTTTTCACTTGTTCTTCAAATTATTTCATTCCTAATATATATGCAGGACGTTAATTTAATCAAAAGACAACATAAATACCAAAGAATACATGTGCAACTTCTTCGAAACATCGAGCAACTCTTTGTAGGTCCCTAAGGACCTTCTCACGAATCTAACGTCATCGGCACTGTCACTCATCGGAGGGTTAAAAGAGTAGCGACACATGCGTACACGCCGATGTTCTGCCATGTGACTTACTTACATACCCCGCCTGGAGTTAGGAAGCTAGAAAGAGCGCGAGCACGCTCCAAGTACTCAAACACATTTTTTTTCAACTTGAAATGGCCTTGACCCCATGCGCCTAAATAAGGGTTAAATCGTAACAACATGTAACATATGTATGTATGTATGTTCGCTGCGCTGTGATTGTGTGCTTAGTGGTCGTTAGCTGACCGCTAATAGCTGCGCGCTCTGGCCATATACACACTAGCATTCGCAAAACAATCGTATCATTTGATGCGGATGCGAATGTCGATGCGAATCATTCGCATAAGCGAATGCGAATGCAAATATTCGCAACATCCCTGGTATGTTTCTTTACATTTATGTGCGAAACGCGTATTTTTTAGCTATATATGGGTCAGCTACTACGAAATTGAATACTCATGCAGTGCCTCTGGGAGAGAAGCTCTCTATTTGATATAGATAAATATAGATAAACCGAATACAAATAAAGGGAATAAATGGGCTTAAAGAACAAAAAATTATATTCTTTTTAGTACGAAATACTTTTTTGGTGCAATCTTTCTTATAAGTAGGTAAATATTGAAGAGTTTTTGTTGGAGTGCTTCACATATTAGCAGTATTCAAGTTGCTGAGCTATGATTGAATTATTCACATTAAGCTTTATATAAATATGCCCGGGAAGGCGGTCCTTTATAGTGTAAACTATCTCTCTCTTATAAGTTTATAGTTCAATGTATGTTGGTAGTAGTACAAGGATTTCATAGTAGTCTATAACATATTTAAATATTTCTAAAATGCATGAATAAAAAAGATCTTTAAATATTGAGGAAAGGAAGATAACAAAAATGAATAAATAAACCTTGCAGATCACCTATTGTTAAAATTATTGCAACTTATCTGAGCTCTTAACTGCAGTTAAACGTTTGGCGGAAATGGGTTTTTAAGTACTCAAACGATCAAGTTTTTTGGGTCATAGGATACCTTTTATCAGAAAAGGCATTATTTTTGAGTTACCAGTACAAAATCATCATTATATATGATTTCCCCCAGCGCTATGATTTCCCAGCATCAAATAAGCGAATTAGTTCCTCAATTGCTTCCAGCAAACAGACATGTCAAAGAAAAACATTACAGGTAGCAGAAGTATATTTTAAAAATCCATGCTTTTTATATGGCCAGCTATATGTTGCATATTCGTGTGTGTGTGCCTTAGCGCCAAATAGTCGAACATACAACGTAGTATATAGCAGCGTCTTAAAACAAGGCTCTACGATTCCTACCCCATGATTGAAACGGCCAGGGATGCCTACAGTTGTATTTGTTGTCAAAATGAATTGATTTACACACAAGTAATTTTTAGCAAAAAAAAAAACGACTTAAAAAAAATATATATGTATATATATATATATTTCATGATCCAATGATCGCATCTAAACCAGATTAGTCTGTGACACTACCTTTCCGATGCAAAAAGAATTATCGAAATCGGTTGACGTTGGACCACGTCATGCGCTAACATACAAAAAAATATATATATTCCGACGAACTGATAACCTCCTCCTTTTTTGGAAGTCGGTTAATAAACAATTTTTATTTCAAAAGGAATTTAGTTTAAGTACATATTAAATTCATTGAAACTGATCAACACGTGTGTAATGCTGGATTTCCACTAGGCATTAAATGGCAGGCATTTTAATGACAAACCTGGGCATTAAAAAATATCCTTGGCATTACTTAAAAAAAAAATTGTAATTAAGTTAATTTCCACGTGGCATTTTTTCAATGCCTCCAATCTTTTGCCATTTCAATGCCTCGAGTAAATTCGGCATAATAATTATCAACTGATTTTTTAATGACTATAGATATTTTCTGTTTTTAAATTTCAGTTTGTTTGCCACTAAATGAAAATCTTTAAAAATAATGGCGTTTTTTTTCTTTTACAGAACCAATCACTGAAGTTATTGGCGGTCCAGAGCTACATATAAATAAAGGTTCAACAATCAACTTAACATGTATTGTAAAATTCGCCCCTGAGCCACCGCCCACTGTCATTTGGTCACATAATAGAGAGGTAAGTGAAAAAAAGTGGTGTCACAAACAGACAATATGTATTCAATACAGCGATCGAAGAGCTACGCCTAGCAGTAAACTTTGGTCTACATTACATTTTTTCTTTTAACTTTTTGGGTCATAGTTGTAATTTATCGAGATTTTGAAGAACGCTTTATGCTAAAGAATGATTTCCCATGCTTTTTTGTAATAGACAAGCAATTTGTGCTAAACTGCAAATACTTGCGAGCAAAAGCATTTTACACACAAAAAGCCGAGGGGCATGTGTTATATGTGCGTGCGTGAGTGTTTGGTTGCCCTCTCTCTGTCATAAAAATATGACATTTACTTGGCAAATAAATGTGAATAGATTTGACGAGGGTACGTCCGAAAAAGCCAAACGCCCAACAGATCCACAGTAAAAAAATCTAAAAATACGTGAAAAATAAACGAAAGCTTAACAAATGAAAAATTGCTGTCAAACGCCAAAGCAACAAAATAAAAAATAACACCAAAACTGAAATGTCAAAGCAAATGGAGTTTTGTCGAGGGTCAATGTGGATGGGAGTGACATTCCACAATGGTTGGCATGCGAAGAAAGTTACTCATATTATGAGCGCAATAAGCTAGGGAGCAGCAAATCCCTGTGCGATGTACTAACTTAAATGGATTTTAAACAAATGGAGATACAAATACGTATTGATGAGTATGTGAATGTATGCATGTGGGTAGTCCAAAAATGCATGTCAAAAAGTGAAGTCGGAATTTTTTGCTCTCACACCCTGGGATTCTTCTATACCGAAAAGAATATACCACTATTTTTTATATTGAAATAAAAAAATATTTAGANTTTTTTTCTTTTACAGAACCAATCACTGAAGTTATTGGCGGTCCAGAGCTACATATAAATAAAGGTTCAACAATCAACTTAACATGTATTGTAAAATTCGCCCCTGAGCCACCGCCCACTGTCATTTGGTCACATAATAGAGAGGTAAGTGAAAAAAAGTGGTGTCACAAACAGACAATATGTATTCAATACAGCGATCGAAGAGCTACGCCTAGCAGTAAACTTTGGTCTACATTACATTTTTTCTTTTAACTTTTTGGGTCATAGTTGTAATTTATCGAGATTTTGAAGAACGCTTTATGCTAAAGAATGATTTCCCATGCTTTTTTGTAATAGACAAGCAATTTGTGCTAAACTGCAAATACTTGCGAGCAAAAGCATTTTACACACAAAAAGCCGAGGGGCATGTGTTATATGTGCGTGCGTGAGTGTTTGGTTGCCCTCTCTCTGTCATAAAAATATGACATTTACTTGGCAAATAAATGTGAATAGATTTGACGAGGGTACGTCCGAAAAAGCCAAACGCCCAACAGATCCACAGTAAAAAAATCTAAAAATACGTGAAAAATAAACGAAAGCTTAACAAATGAAAAATTGCTGTCAAACGCCAAAGCAACAAAATAAAAAATAACACCAAAACTGAAATGTCAAAGCAAATGGAGTTTTGTCGAGGGTCAATGTGGATGGGAGTGACATTCCACAATGGTTGGCATGCGAAGAAAGTTACTCATATTATGAGCGCAATAAGCTAGGGAGCAGCAAATCCCTGTGCGATGTACTAACTTAAATGGATTTTAAACAAATGGAGATACAAATACGTATTGATGAGTATGTGAATGTATGCATGTGGGTAGTCCAAAAATGCATGTCAAAAAGTGAAGTCGGAATTTTTTGCTCTCACACCCTGGGATTCTTCTATACCGAAAAGAATATACCACTATTTTTTATATTGAAATAAAAAAATATTTAGAGGTCGCTCAAAGCCGACAAAGTTGTCCATATATTATATTTGAAAAAAAAAACAAATTTTCACAGAAATGGCATAGAATTCATAAAATCTATATTTTTCGATCAGAAAACGCTGTTTCTCTGCAGGATAATAATACCCGATTGTTTGTTTAACAATTTTTTCATAGTAACTATAATTTATAGGTCCACAAAAAACACCGAAAAATGCAATGGGGGACCAATAATAAATCGTTAACATTAAAAACTGGTTAAATAATTAATTGGGTATTAATATTCGAAGCCTCCTGAAGATAACCCGAGCTTTCCGATTTCAAGAATTTCTATAGCAATTCTACAAAAATTTGTTTTTTTCTCGCTTTGAGCGACTTCTAAATATTTTTTTTTGATTTCAAAAAAAAAAGTAGTGATATATTCTTTTCGGCATAGAAGAATCCTAAGGTGTGAGAGCATTAAAGTTCCGACTTTGTTCCTTTTGGATCACCCTAATGTACAGATATGAATGTGTGTGTGTAATATAATACACACGAAGAACTTATTTGAAGCTAGTTTAAATCTGTAACCTGCTCTTCTGCATTTACGACCTATTTTCATATTTTGTGAAAGAGAAATTCTGTAAAACTTAAGAAAATTTAAGATTGTTGGTTCACAAGGACGATTTGGCATTGAATATGCCAAATTTCTTTTAAGCCAATAAAGTTAGAAGGGCGAAATTCGAGGATCGTGTGTATTTTACTCCTTATCATAAATTTTTATATATATTTATTACTTACAAATTTTCAAGGATATTTAAGGATAAAAGTTTATAAGTGATTGTTCAGTACCTAAGCACCAAAAAATTTAAAATTTTTGAATTCCAGAAAATTTTCCCTTTTATATGATGGGTCTCATTGCCACTCGACATTGCACATAATTAATGAATCATACCTTTAAAAGTATAAAGTCCTTTTGAGAAAAATATTGCCGTCATGGAGAGCAACTAAAAACGCACTTTTACTACTTTTGGCTTATATTTTCGCGAATATATTGATTTTGTTGTGTGTAAAATTAAAATAAAAAAAAATTAAACGCATAAATCGTGGAGAAAATTCAACTATTATTTGAGGTGTTAAAAAGGGAGAGAATTTTATTATTTTACTTTCGACTTTAAATTAAAGGAAATATCCGTAATGTTTTGATAAGAAAATTTAAGTGACCTCAGCTTGTTTGACTTTGGATTAAAAATAATAACTTTCCCTTAAAATTTTATTTTTATTTTTGTAAAGTCATCTTTAACTACACTTACGGCTAGTTAATCCATAAAATATTGTTTGGAGACCCAATGAATTATTGATTTAAAAATTCGAGATAAGTTGTTTTAGCAAAATGACACATATATATAAGTAACAAAAGGGGCAGTTAAGGCGGATTAAAATGCAGCGACTCCGCTGACTTAGCTATGTTGTACGAATGATCAGAAAAACCTCAGCTCTGGAGGTATGGAATAAAGAGGAAGGCCCTCCCTGCCAAGGAAAGACCAAGTGGAGAAGGACTTGGTGTCACTTAGCACAGAACAAGGCGTATTTAACAAGGTGGTGTTAGCCGTATATAAGTAAAAAATTTCACTAAAAAATTATATCCATACTGTCATTGGTATGAGTTACAACAAACTCATCAACTTGACGTAATGCCCTGCACGGCGAAAAACTCAGCTGTCGCCCCAAACATAACCTTGTTAAATACACCTTGACACAAAGGATAATCGATGAGAAGCGACGACATGCTTTGTTGGATTTTGCCAGGAGCAGGTGCTTTGAACTTTTATGCAGAGATCTTCCGGCATGTATGCAATGAAGTAGATATTAGTGTGATCGATATTCATACATATATTACAGTTACATTTAAAATTTTTCAAACGCTCGTTTTTTTTTTCTAAATTCACATATGCAGACTTTTAGCTATGAAAGACTTCCCGCCAAGCTTTGAATTTTGGACTCTGAGGTAGCTCACTTGGCATGAAACGTTCCATATATAAAAGGATTGCTAGATACTTGGCGGGTTTCAACCAAAATTTAGCCGCTAGGTGGCGCACAATATAGAAAATGAACATTTTTGTGACAAAATCTAATATCTCGAGAAGGAGAACACGAAGTGAGATAAATGTAAGGGAACTTTACAGATTATGCGATGAAAAATTCACGAAAAAATGATGATGATGATGATGAACTTTATGAACAGCTTTAAGCACATATTTTGCTGTTTGTATTAAGGAATAAATTTCCATAGTCGCAAGAGCAGAGAAACTCATTTAATTTTTCTAAGTTCATTATATGCTGTTGTTAGGTAAAAAAATTTAGAAATATTAAAAATTCTACCTTGAAGGTCATTTTAGAGGTAAATATGATTCAAATTAAATTACCTTGACTTTAAAACCGAATTTCAAAGGTCAATTTTTTCGAATTTTTGTGCTTCCTTGACATAAAAATAGCCTGCAATAAACCTTAAAAAAAAATAAGTTTTTCTGTTCTCGAGACCATGTAAATGGATTCCTTCACGCAAGAGCAGCCAAAATATATATCGTTCATTTACTTCAATAGTGCCATAATCAGGATTTTAAGGCATTAAAAAATATGAACTTTTGAGTTGAGTATGCGGAAATTACCGCTACGTTTTCTTCTATGTTGTGTAGAAATTTCATAGCTGCATCGATCACCGATATCTCACCAGAACAAAATATGTAGATATTAATTTTTACTATGGTACCATATGTAAACTCAAAACTTTGAAGCCGTTTTCCTCGAGTTAGCTTTCTTCGAGTTTTGATATTATTGAAGTAAATGTACGATAGATATGTATGTTTACAACTTTTTAAAAAGTTCATTTAAAACCTTCTATTTTTGAAGGTAAATAAAGTTTTTTATCAAACGGGTCTACCTCCCCAGAATTCTCTATTTTAAAAGCTTTAAACTACCGTTACATTCATTCTGCTTTATGTTCTCGTTCTCGAGATATAAGAGATTTTGTCACAAAAAATATCATTTTCCATACTCTAAAATTTAAAAAAATATATATTTTATCTATCCACTCACCAGTATCACAATTTTATATACAGTATTTCTTATGTTTCTTGTTTTAATAAATAAATAAATAACCATATTCTTCTTTCCATGCTAGGTCATAAATTTCGATTCACCACGTGGCGGTATATCGTTAGTAACCGAGAAAGGTGTACTCACTACCAGTCGACTATTGGTGCAGAAGGCCATACAACAGGACTCAGGACTTTACACATGCACGCCATCGAATGCAAATCCTACATCAGTGCGGGTACACATCGTTGATGGTGAGTAAATATGTATATCGTCGTTTAAAGTGCAAAACCGCGTATTGTCATTCTGCAAAACCGCGCAACTGACATTTGCTGCCAAAAATTTGATTTGCTCACAAAAGCTCTTGGCTCAATCCTTATCCATTCGTCCTGAAATATACTAGCCAGAAATGCGATTGCTTTATAAAAAAGAGAACCATTTTGTTTTGTACTTTAAACGACGATATGTACAAACATATCTACACATATACAGAAGCGTATGCGTGCATGACTGCTTGAAAGTTTAGCAAAAAAGGAATTTGATACATTCACAAATTCGAATAACTTCCTATTACTAATCCCTGTTTGTAGTGAAAGTGAGTGATATGTAAGTACATATGTATATACCCTTTATACGTATTGCCGTTTTGGCGTCTTTTAAATGCAAGTCAGTAGCAGTTGTTTATGAGTTATTTGTTTAACTATATGTATTCACTAGTTAACTCCAATAATTTGACAAACTTTAATTTTATTGCTAATAAACGTGTTTGGAATTCCAAAGCATTTGTTGGTAAAAGTGTTTCTCGTTAGGGACTTTAGGTTTACATTTTTATCATTGTCAATGGAACTCTCTACTTTTTTGAAATGATAGCTGTGGCGTGAGTTTCGAGACGCATATACGCTGATTGTTTGTACTCATTAACCAATTTTGAAAAAGTAGGACAGACGTTGTTATTATCTTCTTCCGGCACCAGACTAAATAAGGCAATCATATGAAAAGGATTGGCCTCGTTTAAAGTTTCGTTTGACATCAAACGGCATGCAGAGGTCCTTCTAAATTCAGACAGAGCAGGTGGTGTTTTCAACGTCATTTTACGCAGCCTTTTACATAGGTGATGTTGGTTTGATTCTAGATCTGCTTCAGAACTGTAATACCTACGGTGACCATCCGTCCTCTATTTCACGGGACAGTCCTCTGTTTTCGCAAATTGTTCTGGTAATTTATTTCTTTCATACGGGACGCCAAATGTTCTGTATTTCTTTTAATGTCCCGTAAATTCGGTATCTTAATATCTCATAAAAATTATATACCCATAAAACAGTTTCTATATTAATATCTGGACGCTTGTAATTCGAATAGAGGAGCATTTACACATGTACGATATGGTTTCTGAAGTTATAATTTTGCGTATAAAACTGGGTATTTGTGAGTATGAATCGAAATTAGCCGTTAATGATTGTTGTTCAAATTTTGAAAGAAATTTCACTATTATTTAGCTTTTCAAAGGTTTTTTCCGACGCAAAGCATATTTAACAGGTCCAATGTGCCGTGGTGTGGAGGCAATTCCCAAATTTTGTGAAGGGAGAATATATTCATTAGGCGAAACTTCGCCAAAAAATATTTTGCTGACTGTATGAGAGATTGTATCTTCAGTATGAGAAACTCCAAATAAGGCTACAATGATAATGTTGTAAAAGTAAAGAAGTTCTCAAAGATGGAAGGAAAGTGGAACCCTTCGAAGATTCGCTTTGCAATTCAGCTCGTTCCGGATGGTACTCACTGCATTGTGCTTGGCCGAAATCCGAGTCTGAAAATAATCCGTTCAACACCACTCGTGCTTCAGAAGTAGTCGGATATTTTTATAATGTTTTCCTGCGTAGGAATGTTTGTAACAAATTTTGGGGGGGTAAAAATCCCGAACACAAAGTGCATAGTTATGGAAAAATATTTGACAAATGTATGACGTTACAACTGAATATTTATGTGCTGCTTTTACAAAAGATCGAATGGAAAAACATATGCCAAATAAAGATGCTCCTAATAAATCTAGGAAAAATTTAAAAAAGTTTTAAAATCCTCTCGCTTTTGTGGAAAAAAGCAAAATAATTTTTTGTCCCGTATTCGGCTGCCATAAATATGGTCACCGTAGTCATGATGCATTTGTGCATTTTTGACTGTCGGACAGTGTTATTGACTTCTACTTCACAAAGTCTAAATCCGAGTTATAGCTGCATATTTAGTACTCGTATCATTAGACCAATTAAAGATTTTTTTAAATCTTGTAAAAAACACTCAAATTGTAGACATAACTATTTACTTGCGCTGACATACATAACTTTTTATGTATGTAATTGAAAAAAGTGTTCTACAGAAAAAATATCGAGAGAGAGAGTGTAAAAAATTAGTAAAACAAACAACAGATCAAGCTGTTCAAAATAACTAAAACTTTTGTAATTAACACAAGTTGTTTTGCTAAGTAATCGAGTAGATGTATGTATGTATATGCATATTTCAATAAGTGTCAAAGTATAAGTGAGCATCGCTAACAACTTGATGACTCTGTTACTCCTCCTTTGGCGCATTAAACACTTAACGTTTCCGAATTAGTTTGAGTGCGCTAAATGTTAATATCCCCATGTTTTTCGCAATTGAGCACTGCGCCTTAAGGAGATCATATACACAAACAAAGGCTTACAAGCATGCACAAGCACGACGGTTTGCGGCTATTAGAGCAAACAACGCGCTGCGCTACTTTTAGGCCACATGAATTGAGGAAATGACTGTACATATGTACATACATATGTCACATACATGTAACCTGTATGCCAGAAACATGAATGTGTAAAAATACAAATTTTGAGAAATCAAGTTTGAAAGTTTTTTTACGAGACTTAACTCTACATTTATGCAATTGAAATTGAAAAATATGTGGTTTCCGTGTATGCATGGCATTCTGGGTTTTGGTATAACATAGAACATCCAAAGGTTAATCAGCTCAACCTAATAACTCAAAACTGATAAATTTTCACATTCATGCTTCTGGCATAAGGATGACGATATATGTATACATGTATATTAGGGTGGTCGTAAAATGCTTGTGGAAAAGTAAAGTTTGGAATTTTAATGCTCTCACCCCTAGGATAGTTCTATACAGAAAAAACTTATACCCGTTTTTTATTTTGAAATCAAAAAATATTTAGAGGTCGCTCAAAGCGCTCAAACTTTTCCATGTACTATATTTTATATGGAGACAAAACAAGTTTTCGTATAAATGGTATAGAATTCTTGAAAATCAATATTTTTTGATGGAAAAACTTAGTTCCTCTTTTATTTATTTTACTATTCTTATTGCTAGCGATTCCTTATAGGTTCCTTCCATTGCATGTCTTGAGATTTTTAGGGGTGCTATAAACAATAGTTAATAATTGAAAATGGTTAAATAAACAATTCTCCGGAAGAGAAACAAACTTTAAGGATCGAAAAATATTGATATGCAGGATTTATATACCATTTCTAGAAAAACTTTTTTTTTCCCTTATAAAATACATGGACATTAATTTCAAAATAAATAAGCAGCGTTTAAATTTTTTCGGTATAAAACAATCTTAGGGGGTGGGAGCATTAAAATTCCGATATTACTTTTTTTCCACCCTAATGTAAATATGTATAGGATGAATGCAAGAAAGGGTGGTAGAGAAAGCATGGGACGTCGTTATGGAAGGGACATGCTTTAATGTATACAAACTTTAATGTACCTATGTATGTATATATGTATGTTTATTTGAGCACTAAACTTCGCAAAAGTTATGCATAAATCATGCAAATGGCCAAGTAATTCCAGTGAAAGCATAACGCTTGCTCAACACGCTTCACTCTCACTCACTGCTTTGGGCCAAGTTATTGACTGCCACGCTAGCTAATAAACATGACTTGCATAAAGGTCGATTAATTAGTGAATAGTAAATTAACTTGCATGAGAGAATATCTAACGGTAAGTGAAGCCTTTGGAGTTCGCCATTTACTGTGCACAACAATTTTACTGAGTTGAGTACTAATTCCATAAACTTGAGCTAATAATTTGATGGAAAATGAACTTACGCCGATTTCGTTCCTAGAGAAAAATGCAAGCTCATCTTTGTCCTCTAGAAATGAAATCGCCATTAGTTTAGCTTTAAACACCGACAAAACTCGTTTCCAACAAGTTATCAACAGTTGACTGGTCTATTGAAGAATGGCTACAAAGATATCGCCTAGTCGTGCAGACTTGAAATGTTCGAAATTATTTATGTATATCCCATTCTGTTTTGCTGAGCACCATTAACATTATAATACTTGTAGGATTTCGAAATATATTCTTATTGCTAAATTTTGGTTTGTGTATTGCTATTTTTAAAAGGTTAACACTACTCGTAGCAATAAAATCATTTGAAAAATAAGTAAGTTATTTTTGAGAAAAATAATTATCTTAAAATTAATTGTATATTGAGTCTGTTTAATCAGAAAAAGGCGGCCGCTGTGGCTGATTGATTAGATGTGGGAACAACATCTAATTAGCTGCGATCACTTCTTAGCAGGGAACTCCACACCTCCAAGTGTATTTCTGTCTTCAAAAAGCTTCTCATAATTGCGGTTCAGAGGCGGCGTAAAATTGTAGGTCCCTCCATTCGTGTTTTAACATCAGGACGCCTATCGCAAATTGTAGGAGACTCTCGGCCAAACCCCTAGTAACAGTGCAAGCGCCAAAAAAAGAGATTTCTAAAAACACTTAACTTTTTTTATGAACCCCTTAAATAATTATGTATATGCATATATCCATACATACATACATACATATGTAAATCCAAAAAACGACAAAAAATATTTGTTAATCAACTAAATTTCACTTTCTTGCGATATTTCTCTACAGGTGAACACCCCGCTGCAATGCATCATGGAGACGCCACACCACAAGTCCAACCACCGCCCGCTACTTTCCTACTCTTTTTGGTATTCCTAGCGGTATTGCTGTTGCAAGAGCACCCACAGGCATCACATAAACGCAAACAACAACAAAACTTTCAGCTGCGACAACGCACTCGATGGAAGTGGTGGCACAACATCCAACTATCGAACGTAAAATGCATGGACTGCCAACATAAAGAGCCACTAACTACAAAACCAACGACAGAGGTGGTACAGTGTCACCTGCCTGGCGGAGAGGAGCAAACAAGGCGTTGCATACAACAAAAGCTATTAGTACCACTGTGGGACACGCGAAGATGTTGGGAAAGCAAGGAGCTAACAGCAGCAACATAGCCATCAAATAACGCTGACAGCGAGCGTAGTAAGTCCACACTCGAATTGATGTAAATTAAGTTCCCCTCCAATCCTAAAATACGATAAAATATAAAACGATAAATGAAGTACTTTTTTAGGCGCTTTAACTGGAAAGTAATGTGTAGTTAAATTACGAGTATTATATATAATGTATTTACGTAAAATGTATGCCTGTATATGTGTATGTGTATGTGAGATTTAAAATATTTCTTTAATGAAATTATCACTATAAGAACTACAAGACAAGCAGAAGTGACAGCAGCAGTAAGTAATTATCACTAGCAATGTATGTGAGGATAAGTTTTTTTTTGTTTTTGTGTAAAACTTAATGAACAACTTTCAAAACAGAATTTGTTTTAATTAAAAAAAACCATTAATGCTTGCTAATACGATGTGTACTTATTTAATTAAAATAGTGAATTATAAAACTTAATAATTAATACCTAAAACAGTAGTGGATTGAGTTTACCATTTTTAAGNGCTTGCTAATACGATGTGTACTTATTTAATTAAAATAGTGAATTATAAAAGTTAATAATTAATACCTAAAACAGTAGGGGATTGAGTTTACCATTTTTAAGAAAAAAAAAAAGATAGCAGAAGAAGTTTTTTAAAAATGTAAAATTTACTACTTTAGCAAGTATAAAAATATCGATCTTCTAGTAATTGAGATAGAACACAAAATGCATACTTTTAGGAGCTAAACTTTAAATAAACCACACTCCAACAAGCAATTGAACCCACGTCAGTAAATATGCTTTTATACTAGTACCTACTTAAAAAAAAATACTGAAAGTAAAACAGATTTATTTAGCAAAAAATGCAACACAATTCTTGTCACCTATCACGCAATTCTTCAACATTCTCACACTTAGTAATCTCTCACTCTCCACTTTTAAATGTAAAATTCCACCAGTCAATATCCTAAGGAAGCGTGGTAAAATAGGCGGAAAACAAGAAAAATAATAGTTCAGAATTAGTTAATGTAAACGTGTAAATCTTTTTTAGATAGCAAAATACTTATATGGTACTCGCTCTGAATGTATAAGTATGTGAAAAGCATTTAAATACACTAGTACGTAGTAGCCAGAAAATTGAACAAAAATTCAAAAAATTTAAACAGTAATTCAAATTATTAGGCAGAACAAAACATAAATAATAATGATCGCATAGTAGGTAATAAACAATTAACTATAGCAAAAGATAACATTTAAAAGTATATAAAAGATTAAGCAACAAGTTTGTTAAGTAGATTTTTTTAACAAATAATTAATAAAAAATATTTTTTGTTAGCATTAAGAATTGTATATACTAGTTGGTAAACTGTTAATGAGGGAAAATTTTGTAATATCAATACTCATTTAAGGAACTAATAGGTTACAAAATAGATGAGGGTTAACAAAACTTTGGTTATATATTAAAAAAATATATACTATATATTTTTATGTTAACTGTGTAAATATTTATAAGTAGTTTACTTAACAAAATGAAAATGAAATACGAAATATTAAAAAAACAAACAAAAGCATTTATTTTTTTTTTTTTGTACGTCCATTTTGTTTGACAATTAAATTTCTGTGGGCTCTAGGTCGAGATTTAAATAAACCCTGAATATCATTTCGTTGTGCTATTTATTTATTCATCTTTCAGTGTATCGATTACAATCTGAAGACATCTTCATTCGACTAGGCATAGTGAAAAGCTTCTGAACATTATTTCATATTTACTTCTTAGTAACGATTGTTTAAGCGATTTATAACACCTGGTGCCTAAAGCTACGCTACACTCTCAATAAACTGGTACCAAACCACCCTGCCGGGAAGCCACGAACTAACTAGTTCAGTACTAGACCGTTATGNCACTCTCAATAAACTGGTACCAAACCACCCTGCCGGGAAGCCACGAACTAGTTCAGTACTAGACCGTTATCGCCAAAAACGAATCAGTCCAATATTTAGTAACTACACAATAGTAACCAGTTTACAAGCAGCGCAATGTGGTACGTTTAAAAACTATTTTATTCTATTTTTAAAACCACAAATCACTGGCTGGAAAATATTACTTTTTTCGTTTGTCGATTTCAGAACTGCTATTGTAAAAGGAATGCAGCATTGCTGATATGCGAAAGGGAAATAACGCGCACTAGTCATGGTTCTAAATTTACTAGTACCGAACCAGTTCGTCAATATTCGGTTTCCCCACACGGCAGATACAAAGTACCTACATATGCGCATACGTACATAAAGCAAATGCATACAAATTTTGAACACTTCTCAAATATCGCATTGCAGAACTAATTGAAGTAATAGATTGATGACAACGCGAACCATCAACTCAATTAAATTGTCGCATATCGCAAAAACTATATCGGAGTTTTATATGTAAATTGAGCTCCGTATGACTCGCAACCATGCAGCGGTGGTAACTGAGGTTTACCTTATCGATCTATAAATAAATATATACAACAAAAGGATTTGCGAGTTTTATTTTAAACCCGGCGTAGAGCTAAACCAAAAAATAACTCGTAACTTTTTATAAAAATAAATAAATAAAATATTATAAGAATATTAAAGGTATAAGATATGATCTAATGGTGTTACGTAATTGTATGGCAAGAATAAATACTTGTTTAAAAATATGTCTAGCATATAAATCAAGTCCAAGACTTTAAAATAAATACGTTTAGTAAGATTTCATCACAAAAAAAAACAAATAGGGTATTCAACCCACATAGAAAATGTAGGCTCCTAACTTTTGTGGTTTAAAACGCAAATCAATTTGCTATTGTATTGCCAATTGTTTTGTCTTTAAATGCTAAATTCCCTGCATTCAGTTAAAGCTTATGAAAAATTTAATAAAGTCACAGTAATTTCAGAGTATATTTTTGTGCCTTCTTATGGTTTAGAAAACACATACCATTTTTTTGTCTGGCCATGCTTATTCTGGGACTTGTGGTATGCTTCAGTTGTCCCAGTTGTGCAAAGCGATCTTAAGCTTTGTGCTGCCCAGCTAGAAAAATGAAGCTTATGGAAAGTGCTTAGAGGCAGAAGTACATTGAACGATTTGCAGCTGCCTGCGGAGGAACAACCGCTTTCAGAAAATAAACCAAGGTAGCTAGGTACACTTCTACGCACTCATATGCGACAAACCTGAACACCCGAACATCCGCAAGAAGTGAAAGCAATAGTGGTGGCATATTGATATCTCCAATATGGCGTTACGTGACACTTGTATCTATGACAAAATGTGAAAAAAGACAAATTGAAAAAGTCAAAATTTTAAAAAGGGTTTTCCAAATTTTCATGGCAATTAAATGGCCCCTTATTCAGTAAAAAAATTACAATTGTTGGCAGTAGCGATTTAAAGATATTAATAAATTTATGCGCTGGTGTGACGTGAAGTGGATTTTGACTTGGGTTATAAAATCGAAAAACTCGGCGAATTGCGCAAGACTATTTACATAAAAGTTATTGTAGTAACATTCGAAATGTTTAAGGTTAATATTCCAAGTTTTTAATTGTAAAAATCGTTTCTGCTTTTTATTTAATCAGCTGAACTATCTGACGTGAGGTTACGTTACTAATATTTCCATTGAAAAAACTTTGTTAATATTGATTTTGAACGAATTTGTCAGGCGAAGAAAACAAGTTTTTTATGTCAAATATACAAATTATTTTGACATCAGCGCCACCAGCGGTTTCCATTTTTTGTAAATCTTTCAACTAAACATGCCAAATGTAAAACAAATCAGAGCACCTGAGAGACCCTGGCGCAACCTAACGAGACCATTTTTGGCAAAAATTGTTGTGCTTACATAACCTGTATGTATATGTTGTAAAAATTATACAAATTGACCCTCAATTACGTTAGATATATGAGTTTTATTTATTTTTTTGCGATAGACCTTCCGATGATGTGATACCACAATTTGGAACGGCCCAATAAACTTTATCGTTCAAACGCTCCGAGCCGATTATATATTTACTAATACGGCTGATCTCAATGCCCCAGAGCTCCTCGGGGCTATTTAGAAAGTGAGATCCAAAGTTCTTTAAACTTAGCTGGGCGCCTAAAAAGGTAGTGTTGAGCTGATTCTACCTCGTCCTCTTCCAGACAACTGCGACGTAAGGGGTCCGGTAGAATATTCAACCTTACTGCGTGAATACCGGTAGGACAATAACCCATTAAAACCCCCACCAGAAGTGAGAGCTGTGGCTTTGTGAGTGTGAGGAGTGCCCTCGACCGCCCTCGGTCCACCCTCGGCCAAAAGTACCTTGCGATTGCGCATGTCGGGGTATTTGCCCAGCGTTCGCTGAGGGCCATCTATCCAAGAGTGTAGCGCATGTGATCAATGGCACCCCCTAGCCAGCTCGTCAGCCACGCAGTTCCCCCCAATGTCGCTGTGACCCGGAACCCAAATAAGCCTAATGCAGAAGTATTCCGACGCGTCCGAAAGAGAGAGCAGACATTCCTTAATCAAGTTTGTGGCGCACCTCTAATGAACTCAAGGCCCTGATAGCCACTTGACTATCAGAATATACGCTCACTTCCCTGACGATCCTTAGCAGTGAATTTACCGCCTCCATGATAGCAGCTGCTATCGCCTGCAGAAGTCCGGGAGCCTGAACTTAGTGCTGATGAAGAGCTCTGGAAAGAAGACACCTCCACCAACCCTGCCGTCCAGTTTCGATCCATCCGTGAAGAAATTCATCGCACCCCTCCTCCAGAAGTCCCTCCCGGCCCACTCATATCTTAAGGGAAAGTGACACAAACACAGAGAGGAAGCTCCCAAGAACCGTATCAGTGGTGCAGTAATCCGTAGAACTCCAGAGTGTCCAGTCCCTAAGTTGGTCAACCAATCAGTTTCTCTGAGTCTAATAGCCGTTCGCGGCGCGACAATTCTGCCTGCAACGTCGACAGGCCCTGCGTTTAACATTACGTTCAATGCTAATGTTGGGGTGGTCCGAAGTGCCCCACTAATACCAATTAATGCAGCCCGTTGTACGCGTTCCAGCTGCATAGCTAGCGTAGCTCTTCCAGTGAGTTCCACCAGACTAGGGCGCCATAAAACATAATTGGCTTGACTGCGGTCTCGTAGAGCCAATATACAACAACAAGTCCTTTACCAATAGCTTCCCCACTGCAATACAAGGCCACTGATGCCTTTCTTGCCCTTTCATCGATGTTTGGCCCCCATGAACTTGACCCTATCAGACAGCTGTAAGCGCAGACCTCCAACCGAGGGAAGAACAGCGGCGGGGGTTTTATATTTTCTTGTGAATAAGAACCCAGCATATAACTTCAGATCAAATAGCCAAGCTTCCAGTTTTCTGGACTTGTGGCAGCGTAA